ACTAAAATTTTAAGACTACCACAGGACCAATGGTGTTTCCAGATTTAAAGAGACTTAAAAAAATCATGACTATTACTACTTGGGGGCACTAATTATGTGCCAGACACTGTATCAAGGGCTTTACATTTAATCACCATAATTTTTAAATGGAGGTAAATATTATGATCCTACAGATCAGGATCAAAAGTCAAGTGACTTGAAAAGGGTCTATATTCAAAAAACAAGAAAATGGCAGAATCAGTATCATCACCTGAGTCTGTCTCAGAGTCTAAAACACTACTACTTCTTTTTTTGGATTTTTCTAGTTTGTGTGTGTGTGTGTGTTTTAACACACACCAGTAACAAAAAATAATACAGATTTAAACGCTCATATAATTTTGACATTGGGAATCCATGCATGAATAAACACTATAAAACAGGCAGGGCTTTTGGCCTATTCCCTCGATCCTGATTTGCTCATTTGTAATATGACTCTCTGGTATTAGCCCCCAGCAGAGATCTGATCAGCCAGTTTCTGCTTGGCTCAATCCCAGCTCTACTTGCTGTTCACACTGGCTTGCTTTCTTGGTTCTCCTGACTGCCAGGTCCACTAGTTCTTTGGCTTTTATCAGCATAAAAAGCACTCCTTTTAGCGTATAAACTCCTAGAAGGCAGAGATCCTGTTTGTTGTTAAATTTGTTTTATAAGCCAACATGAAAATAAAGGAATCTAATATTTATTTATTTATTTATTTATACAATCCTCGTTTAACTGTATCCATCCATATTCATAATGGACCTAGTTTTAAGCTCAATATCTTTTTCACTTAAACAAGCAGCATTCTAGCACATGTCTAAAAGGAATGTGTAGTATGTTTATGTATGCTATATATTTTTTGCCAAACACATCCCCATATGACTATAATATTGGTTCAAATTCAAGTTCACTATAATATTCATATTATGCTGGCTATAACCATAACCAGTTGTTCTATTTTAATATGTATAAAGTTTACCTTGAATTATCTTTTTGTGAGCTATATCCTGTTTATTTCCTTGATATCACTCTAATTTTTCCTGGATTATGATTTTTAATCTAGTTTCCCATGAGTTTACTCCATCTGACCTACTTCTCACATCTACATTAATGATGAAGTAACATTAATTCTAAAATAATCCTGTATAAAATCAGTATACTTCTATATAAATATAAGAAATAAATGAAATTTCCAAAGATTTAAAACTGAATAATACAGACTCCACCAATGCATTGGTTATGAGTTTCTATGAGCTGAAATAAAACCAAAATATTCAAGTTAAAATCTTACCTTTAAAGTAAAAAGTACAACCTAGTTGCAAAAATATTTATGAACAAGCCCTGTAACATTTAATAAAAGGGAAACTAAAGCAAAGATATTTAAAGAAAGGAGATGGTTTTACAGATCCATAAAACAAGTGGGCTATACTGAAATAGAAAAGTTGCTATTAAACACAGGAGGCATAGGTCATTTTCACAACCCACATAATATTTTTTGGACTGTTAATTACTTCTACATCAGAAGATAATGACAAACTATATACAGCATAAGGAATTGAAACAAAAACAGTAAGATGAAGAACCTGAATCCATATATATTAACCTCACTGATATGATTTTGAAACATAAAGTATACTGATTTGTTTGAAAAAAAGGTGAAACATATGCTTGGTTCATTAAAAATAAAATGTAACCAATTTACGCTACCCATCTACATATCTACATTAATAAAAGAGAAACATGGTAATTAGCGTACGACCGCTACCCTTCCCATTGGCTAATCAGCATATCCTTATGCAAATTAACTGTCAGCCAAGATGGCGGCCGGCAGCCATGCACTGAAGCGAACAGGGAGGCTTGCTTGCTCCAGTGATGGCGGACTCCAACGTTCCCCGCCTCACTTGCCGGCCTCTCAGCTGCAACTCTAAGCAACTATGTTGCAAATATAGAAGCTAAACAAAACCCCAGAAACCTGCATTAGTCAGCCAGGCTTCAGCCAGCCAGACCGCAACATTGTATCAAATACAGAAGGAAAAACAAAGGCCAGAAACCGGCTTTCAGCAGCCGAGGCCTCAGAGCTAAAGCTGGCCCAGAATAAAAAAAAAGAAAAAGAAAAAAAGGAGCGGTTGGGAGCTTCAGTCAACCCACCAGCCTGAAAACAGCCCTCAGCCCCTCAGCCAGACTGGCCAGGCACCCCAGTGGGGACCTCCACTCTGATCCAGGACACCCTTCAGGGCAAACCAGCCAGCCCCCACCCATGCACCAGGCCTCTATCCTATATAGTAAAAGGGTAATATGCCTCCCAGCACCGGAATCAGCGGAGCAGCGAGGCTCCCGGCACCGGGATCAGTGTGACAGGGGGCAGCGCCCAAACCCCCTGATCACCCTGCGGCTCTGTGTGTGACAGGGGGCGGGGCCACAACCTCCCTATCTGCCCTGCTCTGTTCGTGACAGGGGAAGGCGCCCCAACCCCCTGATCAGCCCTGCTCTGCGCCTGATAGGGGGGAGCTCCACAACCCCCTGATTGCCCTGCGGCTCTGTGTGTGACAGGGTGCGGCACCCCAACACCCCCCCCCCCCCACGGGCCCTGCTCTGTGTGTGACAGGGTAGAGCCATAACCTCGCCATCACCCTGCTTTGTGCGTGACGGGGGGGGGGGGGCTCCTCAATCCCCTGATGGGCCCCGCTCTGTGCGTGACAGGGGGGAGCTCCTCAATCCCTGATGGGCCATGCTCTGTGAGTGACAGTTTATGGAGTCCAACCCCCTCTAATGGCCCTGCTCTCGGC